TGCCTCACATTTCCCACAGCATTCCACCTGACTTACCTGAGTACAGGCACTCTCCCGCCCTCCTTCCTGAAGCCAGGCCCTCAGTCCACTGTGATGACTCTGCACTCTGTTCCCCTGAGGCAAAATCAGTACCTAACCAGAAAAACCCTCCAGCCTCTGATTCTTCAAGTCAGGTCACTATGCTGTGGGGCTTGGTCAAGCACATACCCATGAGCACCCTCTCACTGAGGCAGGCCCTGTCTGTACCACTCACCTGAAGTTCACAGCTTAGAAGATGAATGCCCTTTGCTTTGACACAAGGCAGTAACATTCAGTGGATATCAGAACCTGGAACTTACAAGGGATATACGAGGGCTAAGGGCAGGAGCCGAAAGGAATTCTTCAGGATTCCCCCTCCTCCTTTCATCGACACACTGGTTCCTGGCAGAGCCTGCAATGCAATCTCCTGTTAACTAACCTGCAAAATGTTCTGACCAGTCTATCTATGGTTATAAACTTAAACCTGCAAAAGAAACACTGAGATTCTACTTGGGCAAATACAGGAGTGCACTCTGGTTCATCAATAATTGACTTATGTGAAAAAATAATTGCTTTATGTTTTCCTGTCTGTCTCTGCTTAATTTGTTACTGATTATGATAATTACAGCATTTGTGAGCTTACTAACTTTTTTCTTTTTTTGTAGATTCTTAAATTATTTGTGCATGAGGTCAGTTGGCTTATAGATGTCATTAGAGTTAAGGAGAGTCTTCCACACACATTGCCAACAGATCAAAAATATATCCACTCTTGTTTTACAAATACAATACATAATGGTGTCTGTATACAACTTGAAAAATCTTTTATTTCTTAAAATTAATGTGTTAATTATTACACCTTATTCTCTCCAGTCACTGATGTTTGTTATGAATATTCAATGGGGTCATCTTAGGCTTTTAGTAAGGGCTGGAAGGAACTCTTTGGTCAGTAAAAAAGCAGGTATTTGGAAATACTTTCTGCCAGCCTTCTTTTACTAATGAGCCCTCAGTAGTTTCCGTGTCCTTGTGGAAAACATACCACTCCAAATGCTGCTATACATACCAACACAATATAATTCTGATGGGTTATCATGGAAAGCTGAAGGTTTCTGTGCATAAAACATTAAGGTTTTCTTACAAAAAATATCAAAGTTCAAAACTAAATGAAGAGATACAGGTTTGTGTACAGCTGTGACATTCATTTAATTCAACTGGTGTTCTAAATGTGTTCATGCCTTTCTGGTGAACATGTCTTTGAAGATTTAAAACTGAGATGTGTTATGGCAATTACCATTTCTAGACAAAGATATCTGCATTTTCCCGTGGCTCCAACTACATGTGATAAGAGGAATACGTAAAACCACCAATTAATCACAAACCAGATTATAGTTTTTGCTTAAAACTTTCATGTATGTGTTGTCACTATACTTATGGAAGCTCAGGAACTGAACAGCATAGACAATGGCACATGCTAAAGATAGAGGCTAGACAGAATTAACACCGAAGATGCACTTATGTGGCAGTCCATTCTCCTTGCATGACATCCCATTAAAGGATAGTAAGGTAAGTGACAGTTTGTTTGTGGCCATTAATGTCTTGTGATCAGGTAGAGATGACTGTCTGAAAAGGTTTTCCAACCTTAAGATGGACATTTCAATATATTTCAATGGTAATATCATGATTATCATGCTAAAATAATATGTGTAGCTTTTGATTTCCAGTTTTCTCTGTTAAGGTATGCAACTATTACAAGATAACATACTGAGGAATTAAACGAATGCAATAAGCATGACTGGTACGTCATAGAAGATCTCTGACTATACTTTGTTTACTGAAATATTTGCTATTGAGGTGAGATTATAACAGTTAAGCTAACTCTTAAATTTGAGCAAATAATGTGACTGATTACCTCTACTGTGTGTTTAGGAACTAAAATTTAGGTGTTTTTTTTTTCTATTTTCTTTTTCACTACCAGTGATTGAACTAAGCACCTTCTGCTTGCCAGGCCAGCAGTAAGTCAACTGAGTTATCTCCTCGGCCCCTAAAGTAGGCTCTGGAAATAAATGACAACAGAACTAAGAGGATAGGCAGTATATTGGCAGAGGCCCACCATAGGCGATGTGGACAAAGTATATAAGGGGATATTTCTACAAGATCCCAAAAATTTGGTGAGTCACAAAACCTCTTGAACATGGAGATTGCATGAACTCAGAGGAGAGGGGATCTTAAGAATGTCACCAAGAGGAAACGGTGTCCCATGCTTTTAGGTAAAGCAATACGATTGAACAAGATTGACTTATCAAGATGGCTTCCACTTACAGATGAGAGGAGGGCTCTGTAAATGGTTGCAAGGTAATATATGAGGGGATTTAATTCACCTTGACAAACAGTAAGAGGTTAATATTGATGAACACACACCTTCTTAGAATCTGGGCTAAAACATCCAGCAGGAAATTATAACCAAATGACGGACAAACACAATACCATAGTACAAATAGCTGGATACGAAAAGGGCTCCAATCACTGATGTCTTTTGGGAAATTTGCAGACATACCAATAGCTGGCCACTGTGCTTCATTAAGCCAGAAAAGGCTACAGTGCAAACAAGGAAAGCACCACAGGAGTCTCTGACTTCCTTCCTCATGGCTATACTAGAGGGACCTTTATCAGGAGAGGACTCTAAGAGCAAACTCGGTACCATCACTTTTCCAGTTGCTCCAGAACAGTTTCTGGATTTGGCTCTTTCCAAAATTTACCTTTGTATTCTAGTGCTTGTGGTTGATAGTACTTATTGCAATGTCTTGAGAAATTTGTTTATTGTGGCCTTGAGGATATTAGAATTGCAGCGATCCTGCAGATGGAAACACTGGGTCGTGTTCTAGACCTCTTTTCCTGGATCCATTGGATCGACCTTATAAACAGATTGCAACTGCTATACCACAACAGGAAGTCTATCTGAGGTACTTTAGATTAGATCTCTGTAGAAGGCCTCTGACTGTTGTTTCCCTTAAACTGGCATCTCTCAGCTTGAACCAGGTAGATTGAAAGTGCACCACTTCCATCCTAACTCCAGGTGATCATGCCTCCACAGAAATGGAAACAATATAGACAGCTAAGTTAGTGATAAACAGAGTGGGAAGCTAGATATAGCATGGGACTGGAAGAGATGAGACTGCATCAGGAATGTACCGGGTGGTGCATCTGAAGCCTAAATTCACAATGGCTAGTTTGCCTTACTTCCCAAAGAGATGAACAGAGGCTTGGGATTATTTATACCAGCATTTTTAGATTTCCCATTATCTCCTTGGGAGTGTACCATCCTCTCTACTCTGCTAATACTAAAACAACTAAGACTAAGAATGAAACTACAACTAAGACTGGTTAGACTAATGAAGAGTAGGATAAAGATCATTAATCAAGTTTCATGATGTCACTCATGTGTCTTTTCTACCCTTTGATCAATATTACCTAGGTGGCTATCCTTGCAATCTAATTGGTTTATAGTAATGTTTATACATGTCATTCTTACCGCCTGATTTTGCTCCATGAAAATTCCTCTGAGAGGTGGGCTCCTGTGCAAGACATTTGGAGCCCCTCTTGTCTCTTGAGAGCTACTCCTACTCCCTAGTGCTCTTTTTATGTTAACCAGTCCTTTTCTACAATAAGTTCATCCACCATAAAGAATAAAGTTGGGAGTTCTCTGTGTCCAGGAATTGATGGATTTCATTATTATATGTTGTTTTCTCAATATAATTGAAGAATACTCACAAATTTATTTGCTCATATAAATTTAATAGCATAGCATGAGAAAGGAACAGAAATAAAATCAAACAAGTGATTTTATCAGAGTATGCATTTCTAGACTTGATTTAAATTCAATTAGTTTCTTGTACATAATGAAGACAAATTTTATAAAAATCAGAGTTCACAATGATGAAAATAAAAATTTTCCTGTTGATTCAACAAAACTGCTAAACTCCTACACTTGCAATACAAAATAAAAATCCATTTGAGACCAGTATGGAACAATATCATGCTGACATCACAACTCACAGTTAACCAATTATTAGGAAAGTACAACACATGTGACATCACAATCAATTTGGTAACTATGTTTTCAGATTACATTACCTTTATTTATTTATTTATTTATTTATTTTTATTTATTTGAGAGAGAGAGAGAGAGAGAGAGAGAGAGAGAGAGAGAGTGGTGTGTGTGTGTGTGGCCAGCTCAGCCCACCAGGGGGCGGGGCTGGCTGGCATGTGGTGCTGGGGGATTGAACCGTGGTCTGATGCTTTTGCCAAGCTTGTTCTAAGTAGGTGCCTTAGACCACTGAGCCATCTCTCCAGCCCCTACATTACCTTTAAAAAAAAAAGCAAGATTTCAAAAACCCATGGAAACCCAGTTTGATCTCTAAGTAACAGAAAAAATAGACACACAAAAATGCTTTGCATGGAATTTTGTCTCTTCGCCTGCCCCTTCACTGCTTTAAAAAAATGCTTGCTCTGTAGAAACCCAGACTGAAATTGGACTCCATATCATGTAGTGTGAAAGCAAGACTGAGACTTGCTGTGGAACACTCCCTTTAGCTGTCACTGATCCTGGCAAGCAGAGGCCCTAAGCTTGTCTTTTTCCTTACTCTAGGGCTGCTGAGGTTGGTATGGACAATCCCTGTGATATTTCTCATCCAACATGATGGTATGCTCTAGTACTTTCATCTTGGTGGTTTCAGCAAGAGCCCTCGGACCCCACAGGAACTCATACCGAGCAGGATCACTGTTAGGAACCTGCTGGTACTCCAGGTACTCTGCCTGAACCAAATCCTCTCTGACGAATTTCCAGGGGTCCCCAACAGCAATGTGAGCACTCTCAGCTAATATCTTAATATGTATCAAAATTTCCTTAAGGTGCTCTTCACTAACTCGATTGCCCTTTAGGAAGATCACACTCAGGATGAGTATCAAGAGGTCAGCTTTACAAATAATCTGGTCAGTGCCACCTAGTATCCCTCTATAAGTGAGGCCCAGGGTAGAGACAAGCTCATATGTGTGGGCAGTGGAATCCACTTCTTTTACGATAATGCCAAAATCCAGATGCATGCACTCACAGATCTCCCTAAAGATCACAGGGAAATTATCATGGGCACTGTTGCCCACCATTTGCACCATTTCTTCCCTGGAGAACTGCTCATTCTTTTGATACTTCCTGAGCAGAAATCGCACAATCATATGTATCTTATCACTTTCAAAAACATCCATCCTGATTTGAGGACCATCATTGTCCCGGGACACACTTGCACCCTCTTCTTCTTCAATGCTGGAGCCTGCATGACTCTGACTGTTTTCACTGGAAGCCATGGCAGTGGGAGGAGAGGAGACACCATGAGAATTCTGAGGACAACTTATATTCAGAGGCCCAGGCTCTTCTCTTGCTGTATCCTCCATTAAAGCATGGGAGGAAGAAGATGCAGAGGTAACAGTGGCTGCTGCTTCCTCCTCATGCACGAGACCCTGCACAGGACTGAGGCCTCGTGCACTGCTCTGGTCAGGATGGGCTTCTCCAAGGATTCTGTCTTGGTTTTCTTGACGATGAGTCATGATGTTATTCTGTGGAGACAAGACCTGGTTATTGAAGAGTCAGATGCCTGGAGGGGAGAGGTGAAATATTATTTTCCTCAGCTCAGAATCACACACTTGTTGTCTCCCACAAAGCCCATTTCAGGTCTTCTCTCAGTGGGATGCTCTAGGTTTCACATGATCCTTCCCCATGATCCTGGGACACAAAATGAAGCTGTTTGCAGGCTGAAGTAGAACTCATAGGACAAGACTCTAGGAAATACAGTGTGGCATAGGAAGCCTGAACATTATGAAATGTCCTTTCTGGGGCAGGGTTAACCATCAGTTCGCTGTAAGGCCTGCAACTTACCTCCAATCCAGGCACTGGGTTTCCTCTGCTGAGTGAGATGAGCACACTGACCCAGAAGAATTCCTTCACTGCTGGCTCCTGCAGTGGCTGTAGTAGGAAATGGGCAACAATGCCTGTGGAATGCAAGCATGCATGTATAAACCCAATCTTTTCAGTAGCACTGGGCAGCAGTTTGGATGGCCCCATGGTTTTGGATACATTGAATATCTCTTCTACTGGGCCACTCAAATATTCTTCAGCAGAGCCTATTTCCCAGGCTTGCACTAACTTGAACAAAGTCTCAAAACATAATTGTCTCCCTTCCGGATAGTGAATAAATGTGCTGCACGGACACCATCTATGGCATCATCTCTTCTGGGAAAACAGGTGAAATTCTCAAAGTTCCATGGTGTCCATGTGCCCAACGAAAGGTAAAGTTCCATCTTTACCTTGAAGAATGGCTATGACTAGGGTGCTCTTTGCAATCGCTTGATAATATCTTGTATACAACACAGCAATATTGGAGTATCACACTCAAGGTAAATGTGGGGGGACTGACATCATATGTGTTTTCTGGATCTATCTTCAGTTGAAAATAGTAACTAGTTGAGGACTGTATGCTTTCTACTCACGTGAGTACATCTCCTTGGTCTCAGCTAGATCATTGAGAGATGCTGGGATCCTAAGTCTGTGGTCCAGCATTCAGCTCCCATGTTCTAAGGCCTTCACCTCTTTGAGACCAATGAGGAGAACTAAGAAAGCAGCCTCCGCCTGATAGCCATGGTAAGCTACCTGGCACGACAACAAGCTGGGGCACAATGTCAGAAAACCATCTACCTGTTTATATTCAGTCAACATTAAACTAAATCCTCCCTTGGGGCTGTTCTCTTCCCTGTTGGCACAGGATAGGTCACTTTTGTGTTTTCTGACCACATACAGTTCTCTGTGTCAACCTGGAGATACCAATTCAGATCTACTCCTTTGTCTCACTGTGAGTCCCAGGACTCTAAAAGGAAGTGAGCAGGCACACATCAAGTCAGCACGTCATGAGGAATTCTGTTCCAAGAGCAGGGCCGGTGCCCATCCCTCCTGTAATTCAGGACACTTATTATAGCATTATTCTGGGTTTTCTCCCTAATTGGCAGTGATTATAGGTAATTTATTTTTTAAAAAACTTTTATTGAGAAACAAATAGCAATGAGACAGTTTCAAAAACGATCTGCAGGACAATATCAATAATTAATACATTGCATATTGTTGGCTTCTTTGTTGTTATTCATAGTGTAAAATACAGACATGATATCCTGTCCATAAACACTATTGGTACAAATCTTTTGATTCATTGAATTAAGAGAATGTAGGTGTATATCTAATCCTGACTATTTTGATTAAGATAAAAAATGGTCCTTCCTTTGAATCCCCCTTTTTTGGTTAGTTTTGTCAAGGATAGGTATTCCCTTGTCATTTATTTATTTATTTATTTATTTACTTACTTATTTCAGAACTGGGGATTGAACTCAGGCCCTTGCACTTGCCATGGAAGCGCTTACTCCACTGAGCCATCTCCCCGGTCCCCATCATTGTCATTTAAATATTGTATGAGCCTGAATTCAGCAGAATATTCCATAGTCTAGTAGTCCATAATAGTAGTGGGCTATCCGTAGGACTGGCAACGTCAGAAATTGTTGACTTGATCCTTTTACAGCTCAGCATATTAATATGCATTTACTTTTTATACTTCATTTTTATACTTTTCTGCTGGATCGTTAAGAACAAAATAAAACAAGACCTATATAACAAGAAACTTAACTTCTATATCTGACAAAGCCAGTTAAATCCACTCAGGATTTATCCTGAAACCCTGTACCACTGTTTGTAGATCTTTGTCAGTGTCAGCCATTTGGATGATCACATGTTTGATTGGATGGTACCCACATTGCAGGGGTTAAGAACTGGCAGATTGTTAGTAGGTGGGGCTTTTAGGAAGACAAGGGTTACTGCGTGTTTTAAGAAGGTTACAATTTTAATTCATGCTCCCCCTTCACCCTGTGCTTCCTGGAGGACTTGTGAGAGCAGACTTCTTTCCAATATGCCTTCTCTCTGTTGTTTGGCCTCAGAGCTGAATGAATGAATATGCACTGAAAACTCTATAAATTGTAACCAAAACTCAGGTTCTCTTCCAAGAAACTTCAGATGAAAAATATGGAGTCGTACCAATGGGAACATAAATGAGCAATCTCATGTGTGTTTCTGTAATTTCTCCAGAATCCTAATGTTGGAGCCTGCCTTCCCTCAGTCCCCACCACCTGAGGTGAAGGGTTTCCTCTTTGTGAGCCCATGGTCTTCACACCCTGAAGTCTGTCTTCCTGGGCCAATTTAGATGTATTTCAGTTAAAAAGAAATTTCCAGAGCTGATCTGCTGATCAGAAAGCCTGTGAGTCTGCTGTTTCTTGGTTGCAGGCACTCACTCTCCTCAGGTAAGTCCATACATTGGTTGGCCAGCTCCTGGGGTCCTCCCATTACTGACCATATATAGATCCCTCTGCTGACTTCTGGTCTCTGCTTGGACCAAGGTACTGAACTCCTGGACTTCTCTCAGCTCACAACACTGGGACACACATGAACAGTTCCTATGCAACCACACACAAGTATTCTCCACTCTGATAGCAAGGGAAGCCTGGCTGTGTGGGGTCAGATTTTATGGGCGTGGGCTCCATTCAGTTCTTCAGTGCTATAGAAAGGAGTGCTGAGCAATATCAGTTCAGCTTCAAGGTTTGGTACGAACACATTGGAAACTTCCAACTGTGGGTGCCCAAATCACAGTTGCAAAAGTAAATCTCTAAGCATCTGGAAAGCACTGGTTGAACAGTTTAAATTTACAGAGAATGCTTCCATGACTTAGCTGCTCCAAATTTTCTGTTGTAAAAAGCCCATATGCCTATCAACAAATGAAAAGATACACCAAATATAGTGTTTATCTACAATGAAGCAATACTCTGCCAAAAATAAACAGAAGATAGGTTATGTTCATGAATGCAATTTAAGTCTATATTTGATGTGAAATAAATCTGTCGCACAGTTCAAGTACTCTGTTTCTCCTGTGTGGAACTCCCAACTATAAACATGGAGCTGAGTTGAAGAAATATGTTTGGAAGGAGGAATAACCTGCTGAATAACAATGAGAACAATAGGTGCCAGGAACAGGCAAGGAAGGAAAAAGATTTTACAGCACAATAAAAAATTAAGGGGAAAAGAAAGAAACACAGTTAAAGGGATGAGAAAACAAATAAGATGCACTGTGCCCGTAAGATACACCTCCATGATGCTCAGTATCTACTGCAAACTCATACAATGAAAATATTGCAGAAATATATTACAGATAGTACAATTTATGAAGAGTGGAAGACCAGAGTGGAGTCTTCCCCTTCTTCCTGCCTCTTGGAGGAATGACTGAATTTGTAGATCCCAAGTGAAACTTGAGGTCTCTTCTAGTCACAAGGATAAAGTGCCAGTGGTTTTTCAGTACACTGCCTGTTACAATGTTCTCAGGGACATTTTGCAGCTCTCTTCAGAGAGTGCTTTCACAGAAAGCAGCAGCAGACTGACTCCTAAGCCCATGTTTGGCACAAGCTTATAGAGTGCATGTGCTCGGGTTCCATTCTAAGAAATGTTGAGTATCTCAATCTGATCCTCAGAACAGCCACAGGACAACTTCAGTTCAGTGTGCAAAGTACTACACTCCCACAGTGAGGGGGTTACAGACATTCTCAGGAAATACCCATAGACAGGTAGCATATCAGAAAGAAACACACTCAGGATGTACATGGAAGCCAGAGGCAAGGCAAAGCCTGAGTTGTTCCGTATTTGATAATCTAGGTATTCGTTATTTTTAGTGAATTGATGAATGTGAACACTACTAAGAGAAAACAACCTGAAGACTTGAATCTTTGACAGCTTGAAAAGAGTTGAGAAACTCACTGCCATTCTTGCCCCAAAAACCCCAAATTCAATCACTTAGAATTAGAAATGATGAAATCGCAATGGGCTCAGTAAAATCCTGAAAACTAATACTATATACATTCATAACAAGTTACCCAGAACAAGTTTATGAAAATTGCCTGTATGCCTAGATACATATAAAACACAAAACAAGAGACAAGAGCATATGAATAAGTCTATATAATTTAGTAAAATTGAGAATATTATGTAGAAAAAATGTCCAAACAAAGAACCTCATTTTCTGGTGGATTCATACTTGAATACAATAAAAAATTTTGCTAAGATCTAATGGATATACTGCACAAACTCCTAAAAATATGGAATGCAATGCAGAATTCCTAAATAAATTCTTGGAAGCAAACATCACCCTGATCTGAAAAGAAGAATAACTCCAAGGAATTAAGAGAGCTACCACTTCATCACCTTCATGAATGTCCATACGCAACCTTTGTAAGATTCTGGCAACCACTCATCATCACAATCATATATAATTGAAAAATGAAGAACCAGAGAAACAGCTCAGTAGAATATGCACTTGCCTGGCAAGTGAAAGGGCCTGATTTCAATCCTGAGTTCGGCCAAAAAGAGAAAAAGTATGTACACTGCATTGCACAGGTGAAAAGATGTTGCATTATGCACAAGACAAAAATTTCATGAAAGGCATGCAGAGATTCCATGACACAACATATATGTT